TTTTAATAATTTTGAAAACTATGATTTTCCTTCAATTTCACTAGTAAAAGATAATCATTCCCAATCAAATATGAATATTAAGAAGTTAATACAAGATAACCCATAATCATCCCAGAACCCGGTGTCACAAGTGCATGCGCATTTACTAGGAAATGAAATAAAATACAGTAACTCTGGAATACAAGGTGGACAGAAATGAAAACATCGTAAAATACTCTGAAGGGGACTCTGCTGGCTGCGGGTCGTCTCGATTAATGCAGCTCACCTAAGTCTCAATATCAACCATGCCGCTATGCCACCAAGCCACTAGCCACATATGAACCTGTGCAATATAAATGCACAGCAAGCATAGTATGAATACGAAAACAACGTGTACCCAATGCGTATCCCTTCTAATTTCGAAGAAGTAGAGACGAGAGGTCGATTTCGACACTTACTAGCGGTCCAATGATAATATATTACAAATATGAGGAGATCAGGGAATTAAATAAAACAACAATTATAATTCATAAAGCCAGATAGCAGGTAAACAACTTCCCAAATAATGGATTTCCAAAGATTTACTTTTCATTATCTTTATCAATTTCTTCGGCCAGGAAAGACAAATGTCATCATTTATAAATCTCAAGAAACAATACAAGCATGCGCATATCATGCCGAGGTCGTACGGCCTGATCCAACAGAAATGTAAAATGTGCACTGTAGAGGGTCGAACGGCGCGAACCATAGATGCATCTATTACCCCGCTCGGGAATCATCCATGCAACGCGGTCAACATAAAATAAACAAACACCCTGCTCACGAATCATACATGCGACGCAGGTACACATAGAATCACATATTCAAACAGTTAATCAAGACTTCATTAGGGAACAACTATCTAAGGAAAATCCAAATTCTCCTTTTGTAACGATTTAAGAAAAATGAAGTTTAATCCTTATAGAAATTCATTTACCTATTCGATAGAATTTAAGCAATTCAAACCGTCAATAGGATTACAAATATTTCTAAGTACATCATGTTTTAGGGTCCTAGACTACCCGGACAATAGCATAATAGTAGCTACGCACGGACTCTCGTCACTTTGTGCATACGTAGCACCCACAAATAGGAGAACATAACAAATTATTTCACTTGTGGGGACAATTCCCTCTTACAAGGTTAGAAAGGAGACTCACCTCACTCCGAAGCCTATATTCAGATTCAAGAATGCGCTCAAACCTCCAATTTAGAGCCGAATAATCCAAAACTATTCAAATAGGATAAGAACTAGTCAATACATGCTCAAAAGTTCATATTCTAATTATTAAACCATTTTTCCTACCCTAAATGCAAGGTTCCTAAAATTCATCCCCGGGCCTACGTGCCCGGATTCCGGAACATTTTGAAGAAAATTGTTACCCATAATCTAAGGATCAAGAATATATGATTTTTATTCCATTCCTTAATAAATTTCGTGGTTAAATCTTGTCTTTACCAAATTCTAGGTTTATCATCTAAAACTCTTGATTTTCCCTAATTTTCACATGTTAATCTATCCATAATCTATGTATTTCACTCATGTTGTGTAGAAATTACTTACCTCAAAGTGCTAGGTGAAAACCTTCTTCCAAAAGCTCCAACAATCGCCTATGAGGATGAAGGAAAGTGAGTTAAAAGGTCTAAGTCTCGAAATTAATAGCTGTGCACAGGGCCTCAAATGTCGCATTTGTGACACCTGGTTTGCAAATGCGACGGTCGCAAATGCGACGGTCGCAAATGCGACGGTCGCAAATGCGACAAACCCATCGCAATTGCGAACATGGGCCTCCCCTGCCAAGGTCGCAAATGCGACCAAGAGCTCGCAAATGCGAACCCTGCTGAGGTAGCAAATGCGATCAAATTGTCTCAAATTCGAACTCTGCCTCAGGCCAGGCTCCTTCACAAATGCGAAGCCTCACTCGAAAATGCGAACTATTTCTCGCATTTGCGAGACATGCAACTGCTACCAAAAATACCAGAAAATCTGGTGTGTTTCAACTCCTCCCGCACATCCGAAACTCACCCGAGGCCCCGAGGACCCCAACCAATCATACCAACCAGTCCCAAAATACATTACGGACTTGCTCGAGGCCTCAAATCATATCGAACAACGCTAAAACCATGAATCGCACTCCAATTCAAGCTTAATGAACTCTAAAATTTCCAACTTCTACTTTCGGATTGACCTCAAATTTTTCACACAAGTCATATTTGACATTACGGACCTACTCCTACTTCCAAAATTGGATTCCGACCTCGATATCAAAAGGTCCATTTCCGGTCAAACTTCTCAAAAACCTTCAAATTTCTATCTTTAGCCAAATGACTCCAAAATGACCACGGACCTCCGAATTCACTTCCGATTGCGCTCCCAATACCAGAATCACCATACGGAGCTATTCCCAGACTCAGAATCCCAAACAGATATTGATAACACTGAAATGCACTTCAACCCAAACTTATGAAATTTCTTCCAAAATGTTAACTTCCACAATAGGCGCCAAAACGCTCTCGGATTATCCAAACCCCAATTCGGACATATGCCCAAGTACGAAATCATCATACAAACCTGGTCGAACCTTTAAATCTCGATTCTGAGGTGGTTTACTCTAAAATCCAATCTTAGTCAATTCTTTCAACTTAAAGCTTCCAAAATGAGAATTCCCCTTCCAAATCAACTCCGAATTCCCCGAAATTCGATTCTGACCACGCATACAAGTCATAATACCTGAAATGAAGCTGCTCATGGCCTCAAACTGCTGAATGGCATGCTATAGCTTAAAACAACTGGTCGGGTCGTTACACAATGGTATTGGGCTCCATTATCAGATGTGGAGGAGGAAGGGAGAAGGGAGTGTGGTTGTGATGGAGACGATGAGTGGTCTACCTGGTTATATTTTGTTGTTTGCGTAGGTAATTGAGATGTGGGGAGAACATCTTTTAGATTGAGAGACTTGGAGAGTAGTTTGAGTGGAGTAATTTGTTTAAGTGTATTAGGTTGGTCCGGATTTGAAAGAACTATAGAAGAATCTATATCTATGGTGGAGAGAGGCGGTTTGATTGACTGATGTATAGTTTGTGTGTTTGAATGATTTGAAGAGGTGAGAAAATCATCATGACCTAGTTGCATGAGAGCTACAATAGGGTTAGGCAAAGGTGATGGTATTCCGAGTGTTGGATAATTGGGTAGAAGTAGTATTAGGTTTTCTTGGGGTAGTGAGTAAGGTGTATTTGGACAGTGTATTGTGCCTTGCATGTGTGATTGACTAACGTGGCTATCTGCATGGCTTAGAATAGGTATTGAGTGACAGTCTTTTTCTAATTGGGCCGAGTGAGAAAACACTTGAATGGAATTTATGGGAGTTAATTGGCTATTTTCAGCAATATGAGTAATAGGATTGGACTTATCAGAATCATTAGGAAGTAATGTAGTAAATTTATTAGTGGTTGAAAGGAGAGTTATAGACGGTTTAGAGATATTCGTAGGATTAAGAGTATTAATGTTTGATTTTGTAAAAGGAAGAGTGCTAGGAGTAATTGACACGGGCTTACCTAAAGAACTTTTAGGTTTAGCACCCAAAGGAGGCACTTGTTGTAATTGATTTGCATTATTAGAATTGAGTTTCATGAATTTTTTTTTGGAAATTGCACTGTCTTCCATTCTTCAGTAGCAGGGATGTGGTTAGGGTTAGGAATGGTTGATTGGTTGATGTTAGCGGTAGCATTATGATGTTCATCTTGAAATTGATCGGTAAACGCTCTTTGATTGTGCCCCATCCGACCACATTTAGTACATAGCAAATTTAATCCTTCATAGAGGATATTTTGCTTATGATTTCCAATGTAAATATGTGTTCGTAAGGGTTGATCCAATGGTATTTCAACACATAATCTGGCATATCTTCCTCTTATTGTTGAGGAGGTACAAGTATCAACAGTTAATAATTTTCCAATTTTATTACCAACTTTCTGAATAATCTGAAAATCATAAAATTCAGTAGGTAATTCAGGTAATCGCAACCATATAGTAGAGTAATTGATTTTGGTTTCAGAAGCCATAAACTTTGGTTCCCATTGGCGAATGGATAGAAAGTGATCTAAAATGTACCAAGGTCTATCATGTAAAGCATGAGACTTATTTTCTTCCTTTTAAAATTTAAGAAAGAAAAAAATCTGATCCTAAATCAATGAGAGGTAGATTTTTAGTAGGTTGTCATAAGGTATAGATTTTTTGCCGGAGTATTTGATGTGCAATCTTATGAACATAAACCTTAACAATTACTGCATGTTGCCAAGGTTTGTAAATCCTATTTTTTTCTTCAAGAGAAAGTGGAATGAAATTAGAGGGATCAAATGCAACCAATCTAGGGTTTAAAGGTTCATATTGCGTATATGGTGTATATATATCATTATGAGAGGTTAGGGTATGAAGATACGATTTAGATTTAGTAGTAGACTTAGTAGGTTCATGCATATCAAAGGTTCATGCATATCAATAATCANGGGGGGAGGGGTTTAGGGGGTATGAACTCGGAAGAAGCAGATTGTTGGGATTTCATGTAGAGATAGTTTTTTTGTATCCCTATTTTAATGGGATTGAGTGATTTTCTGGCAGAAAATGTATTTATTTAGTTGCCATGCCATGAATGTAAAATAATGAGTGCTGCTAGGTTTTTAAAACTTTTACTCAAATATTACCTATTTATATTTTTTCCACTTTCGAAAATGGGGCCAACCCATCCTAACCGATCAAATTTCATGATCCCTAAAACTTGGGTTTTGCTGTGCTAGCCTATTTTGACACGATATCCAACTTTCTTAAAGAAAGATAAAATAAATGATAATAATTTTTATTTTTTTCCACCAATCTCAATTTCAAAATGCAACATACAAAGAAAGCTGACAAGGAACACTCTGGATTCCAGAAAATGCTACAGGAAACCAGTCTTCCTCCACAGTTAGAATACTGAGTATGTTTTGTACTAATCTCTGTGCATTTGTCGCCCCTGAATCATCTCTTTCCAATAATCTAATAGTCCCTTTTTTCACTTCTCATCATTCTCGAATCTCAATAAACAGTCAAATATTGACTGCAATTATCTCAAAAAATCCCCAAGTTTTCACTAATCAATCCCTATAACCCCATGAAAATGTCTCTCAAATTCTCCTTTTCTCTCATTGTATTGTCTCTAATCTCTGTCCTCTGTGCAGCCGGAGACAGCAGCGTCGCCCGCGGCGGCGATGACGTCGGAGGAGCGACGGTGGAGTTATGGTGTGTGGCAAAGAACAACGCTGATGATGCTGCTCTACAGTCCGCTATAGATTGGGCTTGTGGGCCAGGTGGTGCTAGTTGTGGGCCTATTCAGACCGGTGGGCCGTGCTACGACGCTTCCGATATCCTGCGAACTGCGTCGTTTGCCTTCAATGATTACTTCCTTAAACATGGCATGACCGATGATAGCTGTAATTTCGCAAACTCAGCTGCTCTCACTTCTCTTAATCCCAGTGAGTATTATTAACTTGCATTTTATTATAATTTCATAACATAGTTCGTGCCTGTTTTTTTTTTCCTTTCTAATTTTCTATTTTTTAATTTTCAGGTCATAATGGTTGTAAATTTCCATCGAGGTAATTACTGTAATATCTGGTAATAGATCTTTAGTTTAACTTGTAGAAAAAGGCGGTTGTAGATCTGGAATTTTGAAATTTAATTCAGTGGGTAGTACTAGTGCACCCACAATATTTTTTTGTTGTTGATGTTTTCAAACTTAGCACCAATATATGTGTGTGTATTATAAATTCAGTTATATACCAGTCGAGATGAAGGTAATTGTTGCATTCACCCTTTGGGAGAAATTCAAAACTAGCCTGATTTATAAGTGGTCATTCAAAAATAGCCACAGTTTCAAAAGTAATCGAAATTTAGCCACTTTTTATGTAAAGATAAATCTGAATGAAAATACTGTTCAAAATCCGAAAAAATATTCCAATATAATATACTGGAACTCCATATAAGTATACAGGAGTTCCAGTATAATATACTGGTACAACATAATATACTGGAGATTGGAGCATCAGTGCTCCAATCTCCAGTATATTATACCGGAACTTTCCACGTGTTGGAGTTCCAGCATAATATGCTGGGAGTTCATATACATGTGCACCGATCTTCAGTATATTATGTTGAAACTTTCTGTGTTGCAGCAAAATAATAGCTATTTTTCAATGACTTTGTAAACGCTGACTATTTTTGAATGATCAGTCCTAAAACTGGCTAACCCGTGCTATTTTTACGGTGCCAACATAGTAGATTTGTCCAGCGAGTTGTACGGGTTCAACCGAACCTACTACTTTGGCTCAAACCATGAATACGTTGTGTAAAAGAAATTCTAAATGCACATATGTAATAGATCAATCACACACACACTATATATAGTCTTTTGACCGTAAGTTTTGAAGTCACCTATGTGATTGATACTTTCTAGAATGTCTCGATTCATATACTGCAATGTCAATTTGTCATCAGAATTGAAGAAGAATTATCTATTACTACTGCATTTGCTCAAACTTTGTTAATTTGGCTTGGCTTTTGATGATCTCTTCTAGTTGCCTACTACTTGTCATGAATGGATGAATAAACGTATGCTCCCATACCATGTTATTTTGAAACTTTAGTAAGCACAAGTGCTCAACATCACGCGAGATATTGGTCAGGTATTTGAGCATGGTGCTAATTGAAAGGATGGTGTCAAAAGTTGTTGTTACATGCTCCTCCTATAAATATAGATACTTATTTGAATCATAGTTAACTTTGTAAATATAATAAAAGATAGAAACTTTGCAAATTGTATTTGTAGCTTTCTTTGCCAATCGTTCCAAAAAGTCCTTTTTGCCAAAGTCCTCTGAAAGGACATTCTTGAATCTCTGCTGTATCTTACTCTTCAGCTTTTGAGATAAACGATCTGCTTTATTGTTGCAGCTTGAGTAGGAGTAGTGGAAGCTTTAATGGATCAATAACTACAGGGTTAGGTTCAGCTTCTGAAGATATAAGTAGCAGCACTCCTACACTCAGTAGTTGGATTTTCAACTTGATGGCTATTAATCTGTTGTCTGCAACTCTACTAATTTTGTGAGGTCATACAAGTTTTAACTCCATTGTATGTACTGTAGAGCATAAACAAGTTTTTCGTAGAGAAGTTCAGAAGCTCCAGGTAGCTGATGTTGTTCCACGGGCTCTCCAGCATTAAACAGTATGTAATCCAAATTTTAGAAATTCAAGTTTCCCTTTTTGGAATATATTGTGAATTGTGAATTGTCTCTATTTGTCATTGCATAGGCAAGGCAAACTGATACTTGAAATGAATTGCTAGTCTACCTTTTAGTTTCTATCTTGTGACACCTTAAGCGAATCCACATCGACAAAACATTGGAGACAAAATATTGGAGAGATGCTGGGTATATAAGTAAACAAGTCTTATACCTTACTGACGCGTTTTAAAGGGGGCATTTGCATCTATACCCGTTTTTTGTGTCACGTTTTAACTTGTACCCGCTTTGCAAAAAAAATTGCAAGCGTACCCGCTTTTTCGCATAACTTCAGCATACAGGGCTAAAGTAGCAAAGACAATCATGCAAAACTTCAGCATTCTAGTAGTCGGGCCTGAAGTTCAGCTCTAGAGCTGAAGTTTTTGTTTTGTAACTGGCGAACTTCAACTCTAGAGCTGAAGTTTTGTTTTTGCAACTGGCGAAAGTTTTGTTTTGTAAGTGGCGAGCTAGAGCTGAAGTTTTTGTTTTTGTAACTGGCGAACTTCAGCTTTAGAGCTAAAGCTTTTGTTTTGTAACTGGCGAACTTCAGCTCTAGAGCTAAAGTTTTTGTTCTAGAGCTGAAGTTTTTGTTTTTGTAACTGACGAAATTTTTGTTTTGTAACTGTCTGAAGTTATTTGGAAGCTAGCTTTAGAATAGGATCTGCTCAAATAAGCTGGGGTTCCATCCATCAAACAACTTGCTAGTTTATTAAAATATTTGGGGTAGCGGCAATAATCTTTGTAGATTAGACAAACCAACTATTGTTGTATATAGTGTTTGCTAAATAAAACTCTGTAACTTGCTATTAATGCTGGATAACGTATTTCCGATATCTCTATGTTCAGCGGTCCAGACCGCTACTCTGTATCTTACTGACGCAACAATTATAATTTGTAGCAGCAGAAAAAAGAAAGAAGAAGAAGAAAACGAAGGAGGAGAAAGATGACTGAAGTTATTTAAAAAGTGGGTACAAGTTAAAAGTTTTTTAAAAAAATGGGTTGCAATTTTTACGTTTTAAAGTCGTGCAGGCCTAGGCCCAAAGCGGACAATATCAGTGGTGGGCTAGACTGTTACATATGGTATCAGAGCTACTCCGCGTGCAACCTTGCACGATGGTGGGGCAAACCTCGGCAAGGACGCTGAGTCCCTAAGGGGAGGGGGAGTGTATGTGACACCCTAGGCGAATCTCACATCGACAAAATACAGAGATGCTGAGTATATAAGTAAACAAACCTTATACCCTAATGATACGTTTTAAAGCCGTCGGAACCTAGACCCAAAGCAAACAATATCACTAGTGGACTGAGCTGTTACATATCTGCATCACCTTGAGTTCAAGGTGGCCCTTTGTAATCAAGTGTTAACTCATCGTCTCGTCATACCAATCAGACTAGCTCAACAGGTCAGGTCAAGGTGTCGAAATCTTCAAATTTTAAGTTTAGGATTTTGGGTTTAGGGCTTAAAAGGCAATTTTCTTTTAATTTACCTGCATTCTATCAAAGCAAGAAGAAACAACAAGAACAATGATTGTGCCTTACACATGACTTATGAACAGGTTAGACAGAGACAAGTCACTCATATTTCAAAGTTGAATTCAGTACTTCACTTTGAAAAAGAAAATGGGAAAAACTTAAATGATGAATAGAGATTACAAATATTAATAAAAAGATTGTACTAAATAAATGTGTCCGCTGAAGCTCTACACAACGGACAAACTTTTTTCTTCAGCAGCCACTGCTTGATGCAGTCCAGATGAAACTCATGTTCACATTGAAGTTTCCCTATGATGTCTCCATTTTTATACTCAAGCTGGCAAAACCAGTGACTCAGTTAGCATAGAAAGATGGTCAAACTCTATATAATCAACTGCTTATTTAGTAAAAAGAACAAAAATTTTATGGGATTTTTTGCTTTGTTACTTACTATGCAGATTGCACATGTTTCTGGCTCCTCATCATCAGCTCCTCGATCTGGACGCTCGTCAAGATCTATATCCATTACAGGAATATAATGCATTCTTATTTTTAGGTACCTTGACATTCGAACCCTTTCATAGCTATAGTTATCATCAAGCACTGATAATGCCACTGGCATTGTTGTTTGCTGAGAATTATGTAGTTGACGTCTCCATGGTTGCCAGTAAAAGAGATTAACTGGTGCATTCGGGACATATCGTGGATTTCCATTGTTGTAGGGTAGATGATTAGGGCGTGACATGTTTTGTTGAACTAATAATTGGTTGGATTTTCTTGGTCTCAATGTGGTATTAGTGAAATACAGTAGCAAATTTGATTCAAGGAAAAGAACCAGCAGCAGGTCGGAAAATTAAACAATAGAATAGAGTGATGAACACAAAGGATTTAGGATTGAGGCTACTATGTTTATGTCTCTACCTTAGATTATATAGAATTGAAGAAGATATGCCCAATTTGACTGGGATTCGGATTTGGGTTTTATTGAAAGGTTACTTTCCTTGTACTTCTTGTTCAGTTTTTGGCCCTTAAAGGAGGCCGAGTTCCAATGTAAGAGCCTGAATATGGAAGCAATCCAATAAATTGACACACGTTTAGACAAATTACTTGCTATCTGAAAAGGTCGTTAATTCTACAAAATATACGCGGCTATGCGCTAGTATTACGTGAAAAGGTTTGAGAAAAATAAATAGAAAGGGTCACAATTTACAAATAATATTTTACAATTTTTTCCTTCCCTGCAATGAAAACACTATTTTCATCCTAAAACTCTAGTTGACAAAATTGTTACCACCTTGATATCGACTCATTACGTCTTGGATAGAAGAACAACAAAGATTCTATGTGAAAATACAAGAGGGGGATGAATTGTAACTGTTAAAACTTAATCGCTTATTAGTTGACTGATTAATCGAGTAGTCGACTAGCTATAATAACTTAACAGTTATAATGACAGAAAGTAAATTGCAGAAGGTAAATGCAGGAATTAAAGACACCAGAATTTTATACTGGTTCGGATTCAATGTGAATCCTAGTCCAGTCCCCTTGAGTTGCAAGGGAGTTCTCTTTCAGTAAATATGTTTCTCCGAGTACAGTTGAAGTGAGTTGACAGCACAGTTTCTCTAGCACTCGTTACTTTGTGATACAATGTCTCACCAGTGTTATACTCTCCTTTTCTCTGACTTGTTACACAGCAGATCCTAGTGAACTACAATATTTGTTTGCAGTAGAATAAAGAGAGTGGTTTTTGGTTTGATCAAAGTATGTCTGACTAGGGTCTAAGACTGGGTATAAATACTTTAATGACGATCGAAGCTTGACAACCCAAGAGATTTGATCCTTGGAAAAAGATTGATTCTTTCCAAGAATAAGATAGCTAGCCGTTACTTTTCCTTGATTTCCTTTCTTCAGCAGATGTATGTAATGAAAACTTGCTCCTTGATTGTTGGTTCTTCCAAAATTAGTCGCGTACCAATCTTTACAGAATCTTCGATCTTCCGGAATGCTGCCCTTGATTTCTGCCTTAAGTTTAGGCTTGCTTGATTTTCTCCATCGCCGCTGATCGATACTCTTTGCTGATTGATTGGCTGATTGGATTCATTCCAGATTTACGAGTCCTTTCCTTAGGCGTCCAGATTTGCTGATTGTATTGTAATCTTTGCTGATTGATTTCTTTCCTTAGTCATCAGGATTGACTCCAGCAGTCTTGTAGTATCTTCTTGACTCATTGTAATTGATTTCCTGCATATGTATATTATTTGCATCATTAAAACTGGATCTAACAATCTCCCCCTTTTTGATGATGACAAAATAATATATAAATGTAAACACCAGTCGACTTCCCTGTGTTTTACTCCCCCTTAATGTATGCAGTTGACTGGTCCATGATACTCCCCCTCAATGACAGACTCGACTTCTGTACCTGTACCAATATAACCTATACTTTTTCTCCCCCTTTTTGGCATCAGCAAAAAGGGAACAAGACAAGAAATAAACAGAATAGATAGCATTGAAGCAGAAAAGTTATAGTGATCATCCAACGGCTGGGAAAACAGCCCACAAAAATAGCACATCAAAAAATAAAAATTATCCAAAGGCTGAAAACACAGCCCCAAACCAGCAGAGCAAAAGAAATTGTCTTAAAAACATCCACATTAACAGCGCAGAAGGTAAGTAAGGGTGTTGCAGATGGCCTCCTTCAACTGTTCAAAGCTCGCATTGGCTGAGATACTCACTCCATCCAACTTGTCATGAATCTCCCTGAAGGTTTGGACAGCATTCTCCCTGACTCTGAGAACAACAACTCTAATTTTGGACACATCATACCCTGTTTCCTTGGAAATAACATGAATATCACCAACAGTAGACTGAGTGGCGGTGAGAAGATTTTTGATTTCAGAGAGTTGAGAGTCAATAGCACGAAGATTTTCACCAAGATCAGGATTGTCAAGACTAGGATGAGGGACAAAGGGTGAAGGTTTGGGCTCTATAGGGGCATGCTTTGCTTCATTATCGTGCTTCTTAACCCAGGAGCCTTTGACACTCACATATCCCATGCTAGCAAAGGCTCTAGAATTGTAGGACTTGGAGACAGTAATGAAGGGATAGTTGGACAGGGAAATTTGATGAGCTTCCAAAATGTGAGTGATTGCCATGCCATAGGGTAGACTGGAAGGATATTCAGCACTTTCGATCATGAAATTGATAACCCAGGAGGAAAGCTTGATTTTGAGTTTGGTGACGAGGCAATAGACGAAGAATTGTCTCTTTGGGAGAAGGTTTAAAAGGAACCAGTACGGGGAAGAAAAGTAGCTGCCACAATGTGGGCCAGAACCCGAGTTTCAAAACTAACATCACTGGGATCTAATTGGTTTGGAAGGGGGGCAGAGGGACACTCAACGATACACTTTTTGGCTTGGTCAAAGGAAATTTCAAAGTCATCAGGCCAGGTATTTTTAAACAGCGTAGGAAAACCAGAACAACGACACTGAAAAATCAAATCAAATAGGGCACAATCAAGAACAATATGCTTACCTAACACTAGAGATTCCAACCTATCAGGTTTACTAGAATGAAGATTTGCATAAAATATTTTTACCAGGGGTTCATATACCTTAGGCGGAGGAATAAAGAAGAACTTAGCCCAACCTTGATAAACGAAAAGATCTTTGACCTCGCAATTGAGGTCTTCCATGTCGTCAAGGTCGACAACCCTTCCATGAGCAATGGGCTTGTCTTTCAGAGCAATGAAGAAATCCTTATTTGGGGAATCCCAGAAATTGAGGTCAGATTCAAGAGAGGCAGAGAAATCAACCTTTGATTTTCTTGGGGTAGACGAAATAGGGGGTTCTTCCATGGGTCGCTTACCTAAAGCTTTTTCTCCTAGGAGTTGTGAGTGTTCAGAGAAATCTCCCTGAGAAGAGGCGAAACCCTCAGAGTGATCGGACCTTAGATCTACTTGTTCTGGGGGCATAGAAGGGGGTTTTGCTTTGGAGTGGGTGCTCTTTCTGGTAGAAGCAGAGGGAGTTTTGGGATGTTTGGCCATTGTAGAGAGGAGTTTCATCTGAAATTTTGGAGAAGAGATAGAGATGAAAGTGATTGATAAGGGTTCTTCGCCTTAAGAAGAGGGTTTCTGATGGTTGAGTACATGAAAGGAAAAGTTGTAAGTTGAAGAGACGTGATGATTGGCTTTCCAACTTTGAACTATGAACTGATGTGATAGAAGAGAAAAGAGAGGGAAAAACGGAGGCGTAATTAATGCATGGGTAAAGGACAATTATTGCAAAAAAATTATCAGTGCACATAGGTCCTAAGGGTTATTAGTAATGCAAATAATACCAAGTAAATTTCTTAAATCACAAAATCTTTCTTCTAATAACGGTTTAGTAAAAATATCAACTAGTTGATTAGAGGTTCCAACAAAAGATATTTCTATGTCTCCCTTAAGGACATGATCTCTAATAAAATGATGTTTAATATCTATATGCTTTGCTCTAGAATGATGCACATGATTCTTTGAAAGGCAAATAGCACTAGAGTTGTCACAAAAAAATTGTTTAGGCTTAAACGAAAGTTCATAGTCACCCAGTTGATAAGACATCCACAGTAGTTGTGCGCAGCATTGTCCAATAGCAATGTGTTCAGCTTCAGTAGTAGACAATGCAACTGATGCTTGTTTTTTACTGTTCCAGGATATTAATGCATTTTCCTGTAATTGACATGTACCACTTGTGCTCTTTCTATCATCCTTGTCACCTGCAAGGTCAGCATCTGAAAAACCTTCTAATTTAAAAGAGTTACAACGAGGGTACCATAATCTATGAGATATAGTCCCAATGAGATATCGAATGATTCTTTTTACGGCAGTCAAATATGATTCCTTGGGAGCTGACTGAAAACCTGGCACATTTACATACGTTGGACATAATATATGGCCGACTTGCTGTCAGGCACAACAGTGATCTAATCATTCTACGATACTTAGTTTCATCAATAGGAATACTCTGTTCATCTCTGTCTAGATTTGTGGAAGGGCTCATTGGTGTGCCGATTGATTTTGCATTGCCCAAATTTTTGAATGCTCTTTTGTGTATTTGGTGTGATATATGAAGGTCCCTTCTTCAGATTGTTGAATTTGTAGCCCAAGGACAAACGTGAGCTCACCCATCATACTCATTTCGAATTCACTTTGCATAAGATTTAAAAATTCCTTGCACATGAAAGGGTTAACACTACCAAATATAATATCATCGACATAAATTTGAATAATGAGATTACCTTCCGACGATCGTTTAATGAATAAGGTAGTATCTATTTTACCTCTTGTAAAGCCATGATCAACAAGAAAGGAACCCAGTCTATCATACCAAGCACGTGGAGCTTGTTTTAGCGCATACAATGCCTTAGTGAGCTTGTATACATGGTATGGAAATTTTGAATATACAAAACCTGGAGGTTGTTTCACATATACTTCTTCTTCGATAAATCCATTCAAAAAGGCACTTTTAACATCCATTTGAAATAGACCGAATCCTTTAAAAAATGCATACGCCAGAAGAATTCGTATGGACTCCAAACGAGCTACTGGGGCGAAAGCTTCATCATAGTCGACTCCTTCCTGTTGTGAGTATCCCTAAGCAACTAGTCTGGCTTTATTTCTTACGACCTTTCCACCTCGTTCAATTTATTTTTAAAAACCCACTTTGTTCCGATTACAGACACATTATCAGGTTTGGGTATCAAATTCCATACTTGATTCTTACTGAACTGATC